ATTTAGTCTATTCTATAGATCAAATATAGCATATCATCAAATTATATACTAAACATTCAAATCTAGATGAGCTTTGATCACTCTAGTAGGTTTAGGTCACAGATAAATTAGTCTGAGCTTTTATTCTTACATATAATTTTCAATTTATTTGTTTTGTACAAATAGTAGTAGTTGCATAGTTAGCAGTTTAATAGTTAGTTTTAACTGCAAGTGTTGGCCTTAGCCATAGCATATATATATATATAACTATTTTAAATTATTAATAAAGATATAAGCAAGGTCTTACTTTAATACTAAAAAAAAAAAAAAGATTATATATATTTTACTAAGTTATACATATTATTATATTGAAAAAAATAAATTAGTTTAAGTTTGATAAATGATGATTGTAAATTGTTAAAAATATTAAAATCATTTATGATAATTGATTGTATATTATTTGTATTTGTTTCTTGAATCTATTATATAATATATTCTAAATAAGAAGTTTAAATTAAAGATTATTATAAGATAAATAAACTAATATAATATAAAATTTAAAATTATGTTTAAAGAAAAAATTATTGTAATAGTATATTTAGAAAAATTGAATGTTTTATAAACATGTGATTTAAAATAATTTTGAATCATAATAATTGTTCCAACTTTATAGTTATTAATATATGACCAATAATAAATAAAATGTTGAGATCTGAAAAATTTAACATGTATATTGTTTTGTGAAATTTTAGTTTCTGTAATGCTAGCAATATTGATATCATGAGATAGGCAGTAATCCTACTATGTTTGTTGTTTTAAATTATCATTATATTCTTGTGTATTATGTGTGCATATTGACAGATGAAATGGTTTGTATAAGGTAGATGTAAATGATAATTATATCTAATATAAAAGAGAACTTTAATTAAAATTAGAATAAAAATAAAAACAAATAAAAATCTAAACTAGTAAAAGAATGTATAATATAAAAGAAATTTAATTAGAATTGCATTTTTATTATTAATGATCGTAATATGATCGAAACTTTATCCGGAATATGATCCGAGGTACGATCGAAATCCTTTCCGGAGTATTTTATCAACCAATCAAAACGAACTTCTGCTATGCTCTAAACTATACAAATATAAATTTTTTATATATACGAAATTTTAGGTGAGATGATTATAATAAAAAAACTAAATAACCTGATAAGACAAAAATATTACACGTTAATTTAGTAAAAGTTGACTCAGAAAAAAATAAATAAATTTGATGTGGCCAAATCTAGAGAATTGCCGATAATTGTCGAGTGATAACATTAAATACTGAAAGTAATAATTAAATATTATATATTTTCATAAAAAAATGCACCATGTATCCATAAGTCGAAACTTAGATGGTAGGTTTTCTATTTTCCATTTTAATCTTATTAGCTTTATCAATCAACGCTCTTCCAATTGGAGGATCTGCTTTTTGATAATATTGTCCCTTCAGCACAATTTGTCCCCATTTTTCCAACGCTAAATAATTATTTTGCTTCGCCGAATTTTTCAAATATTTCACCGCGGTCATGTACCTATCACCCTCAAATGGAACAGGACCATTTAACAAAGTTAATGCATACCAATATTGCGCTTCCGGATGTCGTAAATCTGATGCTTTTTTAAGGAACTCCATGCCTTTTTTAACATCTTTTTTACCAAAACCCTTAATATAATAAAATCCAATCCAGAAATTTGAATTTGGATCTTCTGGTTTGGTTTCATAACAACTTTGAAATATTTCCCATGCATCTTTGTATTTCTTATTTTTGTGAAACTCAATACCTTGTTCTATGTTTTTATATTGGACTGAATATTGACTAGATCGATTGTAACTACGTCTTAAAATTTCATAATTTGATGGATCTATATGTTCAGTGCTATCAAAATCGTCATAAGCATCTTTCCCAGAAGAATTTATTAGTTTATTTAGATGTTCGAAGATTAATTTCATAGCCTGACGTGAAGAAGGATCTTGAGACCAGGATTTTTTAATAAGGTCTTGGTATTCGGCTGGAATACCATCTTTTGAAGTAAGTTTAGGACGGTTTTCGTCAAGTATTGTTTGTTTAATTTCTTCCTCCGAGGTTAAGGCATCGAAGGGTAATTGTTGATATTCAATCGCCCACATAACTAGAGCGAAACTTTTAACATAGATTTCATTATTATTTGTTTACATGAATTTAAGTTAAATTGTTTTAAATTAAACCAAAAAATTACCTGTATACTTCGCTAGTTTTAGTGTAATTTTCACCGCGAATTCTTTCTGGTGAACTCCAACTGAAAAAAAATCAATCAATAAAGTTAATAGGATGATAAAAAAGAATACGTATATGTATTTTCGAATAAAGATAACAAAAATTACATTAGCATATCAATCGGAATAGCTGATGTTGGCGTCGAAGATTCTTTAGGAATTTGGAAATTATATAGTTTAGGATGTAAATATTCATCCAGCAATATATTAGAACTAATAAAATTTAAAAGATTTAAATAAGAATAAACATTATGATATGCAATCAACATTAATTATTTATATACTAACGTTCTAATATCACCATGTAAAATATCCCTTTCATGACAATAATTCAATGCGTTGGCAATTCCACACGCAATTAACAGTTTATTATCTGGCGTTAAATTAGAATCTTCAGGTTTATCAATAAGGTAAGTTTGCAAGTTATATTTGGCCCATTTTGTAATTACGGAGATGCCAGTGGATCGACGACAGTACCCGTAGCTTTGAAAAAAAAAAAAAATATATATATATATATATACATATAATTATTCAAAAAAATAGGTAAAATAATATATAAGTTTAAATTTAAACATACAATTCAAGAATATTTGGACATTCACTAAGTTCTTGCATAAATTTAATTTCTTTCTTCAATTCAAGTGCATCATCACATTTATCAACAGTCTTTTCAGCAACTTTGGTATATTTTTGATAAATTCGTTGAGATATATGACTTTTACTTCCTCTAACTATCTCACCATCCAAAAGATCATCTTCATTGATCTTAAATTTATTATCAAATCGTCTTCTAGGAATCGAAAGAAATTTGACAAAGGAAAAAGTTTTACTTCTAATTAGATTCCAACCACCTTGTTTAGATTTCCAGTTCTTGATTGCTACCTTCAATTTATTAATTGCATCGCCTGTTTCATATATTAAGCGATCGATCCTTTCATTGATCTATTTATTAAATGATTATCAGAAATTATATGACATTTATAAAAAAAGTACGTAATGTTCAATAGAAAAGTGGTGTTTTTTAGATTTTAGAAAATGTAATGTCTTTTACTTTATCATAACATTAATCGATATAATTCGAACACAAAAATTATGAGTTCGGATTGTATCGATCAATTTTGTGATAATGTAAAAGACATTACTTTTTCTAAAATCTAACACCACTTTCTATTGAACAATGGGCATAAAATTAGCGTCATAAATCTTACGTGCCTCAAGCGTACCAACATTGTCAAGTAAAAGAAAGATATTCCAAAGACAATCCGTAAAATTTTGAAAATCTGCGGAATCTTCAATAAATTTTTGGAATTTAAGATTTACTTTATTCTCATCCTTTTCACATTCACTAGACTGATCATTTGTTTCTTTGGAACGAGAACCGTTAGATAACAATTGTTGAATTTCTTCTAACATATCTTCACCATATTTGGTTACTTCCAATCCTTTTGCAGATAAATCTTTTAGCTTTAACTTTTGGAACCCTTGTTTTGCAACATCGAGACTCTTTTTTGCGATTGACAAATCTATACATTTTGATGAAGTTGAAGTAAAATTGGTTGGGAATGGAGGAGGTTTTAAATCTATGGGCGATTCTACATATGAATTATGATCTTCTGTATAAGACATTTTATATTTTTTTTAGATAGACTTGGAAAAACAAAAGGCAATTTAAGATTTATAAAATTATTAAAGATGAAATTGGATTTCAAAGAAATGTTAGAATTCAACATTTAAATATTCATCGGAAGTTTAATCATTTATTTAAATTGAATATATGCATGCAAAACCAATCTAAATTTAATAGCATAAAGACTTTATTGATTTCAACACCATAGAAAGCTCCATAAATGGTATACTCTGCGCATAGGTGCAGAATTGACATTATTATTTTTAAGTTACGGCAGGGATAATGCTAGATTTTAAGAATGGATAAATTAAAGACATATCCTTGCGAGTACGTATAACTTATCGATGGTTAAGAAAATAGGTTATCGATAAATCGCAAATCTACGTAATTTAATACTATAAAGGCACATTTCCTGTACGCATAATCTGGTCTTATAATGCTGGACACTCTATGACTGTCCACAAACGTGGGAAGCACTGCTTTAAAGTTAAACTTTTCAGGATAACAACGTGCATAAATGAAACAATTAAGCCTACCTTTTCCTATTGAAACTAATCAAATTAGAAACTAGAGTATTACGATTAAAATACTATATCAAGATCAACGGGGTATTTTTATTACTAATATCTCGAAGTCGAGGTCGTCGTACATACGTACAAGAAACATATATTATTAATTTGTGTAATGGTAATACTATAGTTAAACCTGTATGTATAGGTATTTATGAAATTTATGTTTTTTGTACGTATGCTTCCTGAGCAGGATGCAATGCTGCCACAGGACAACTTGGACATTGAACAAATCATATTTACTCAAAATTATATTTTCGTTGTAGCCTATTTGAATAAAATGGAATACTGTATATGTCATACGTACGTCGTGGAATTATTGTGGATTTTCACATAGGTTGATTCCAAATAAACTAAAATGTCCCCAAGTCAGTAAAGAATTCCAACTCAACTTACAATAAAATTAAGTATATTCCAAATGATTTCATCGGGTACGTTTTTAAGCTGTTGCAAATATTAAATTTAAAAACATTACATGAAGTTCTTTACATCTATGATTAGCAGGATAGCAACTACTTCTACAGGATATATTGATTTTTGCTACACGTTTTTGCAATTGCATTTCATATTACTGTACCTATTTATAAGAGCACAATTAATTATTCAACACGTCTGGTGAAGAAGATTGCATAATTGACACTTCTTGAACACTGATATACATTTTTACTATTCATAATCTTTTTTAATATCCAATTGTTCAACTGTTCAAGGCTTGCTCAAACTTTAATATTTAATAAATTTATATGATTGTATATTTTCAAGTGCTAAACATCTTTACTTAGAGATTTGAAATAGGTTATCTTTATAAAATTTTGAATAATTTTATTTTTTTATTTAAATTATTCAAATTTAATGTTTACAGTTTATATATTTATTATTATTTATAAGTACTAAAAATACTATAAATTTTAAAAACATATTAAAACTCAATAAAGCAATTCATTAATAATATATATTATATATGATAATTTTAATAATATTAGATTTATAGAATTCATTCTTTTTACTAATCTCTTTTTATAAATTTAGTCAAAAAATAAAAATTGTAAATAACTTAACAAACAATATAGGAAACATACAAAGAAGGATTAAAAAAAAAAAGCAGCCAAGCAAAATATATAAGTGGAATATAAAGTTGTAGCAGAAGAAAAAAACCAGAAGTTATAGTAATAATTTTTATTATAAAATAAAAAAATTTTTTGAGAAATTATAACTAATTTTTTAAAAAAACAAACAATATGTAATCAGTCATCTGAGCAAATAATAAATAAACAAATATAATATATATAAATTGGAAAATAAACAATATATATAACAAATAAACAAGAAAACAGATAAATAGAGTTAGATATACAAAGTAGTTTAGAACAAAATCTAAAGTATATAAAAGTTACATAAATACAAAATTTACTTAAATATATTAGCAATTACAGAATAAAAGTAATAAAATATACAAATAATAAAGAGATCAATAAAGTTTTAGATACAATAGTACCAACAAGTTCAAATAATATAGAATTAATAATAAAAACTTAGTTATAAAAAATATAGACAGAATTACAATATATGATCTGTTCTATATAGTCAAATAATAGCAGCTTTTAAAAAAATGAATATCATAGAATTACAAAACAATAATATAAAAGAATATGTTAGAAAAATTAGAAAAATAAATTTGAACCCAAAATTAGTCAAATTTCTTTTAAATATAAAATTAAAAAGTGTTAAAATCCTATAACTTAGTGACTAGATATCTTATCTTTCATAAACAAAATCAATAGTTCAATTCTAGCTAAAGATAAAACTTTGTAATCTATAGAAGCATATAATATATATGAAACCTTATAGTTAAGTTTATATAAATAGAAGATTAGTAAGACACAAATCATTAACTCTTTTCAATAATCATTTGTATCAAATTTTGTTGCAAACAATTGATTATTATTCAATATTTTATTAAGTAAACTACCTTTAGATGCTTAAGTAAAATTGTTCCTAACATAATTTTACATTTAGGCAGCCTAGTTATATATTTTTAAACCTCTTATTCATTAAAATATTTTTATTAAATATAAAAACAATTCTATTTAAGTTATCTTAAAATTTTACTAATTAAACAACTTTTGTATCTTAGAACAAAAAGTATGAGCATATTCATAGCTTTATTTTGATATAAAATTCATTAAAAATGGTCTAAAACTGATCAACTTATTGGCAAAATACACTTAAACTCTCTTGCAAAATTTCTTTTTATTTTTTGTAAATTTTTTTTATATTTTTTGAGGGGCTGCCTCTGGTCTACCTCATCTAAACCTATCCAAAACAGGATTACTAATCAATATTACATAATTTATTAATTACAAATTTGTACTTTTACAATTTTATACAACTTCTTTGTTTAATGTCAATCTTAATTTACAAATAGATCTGCAAACTGTCACATACTTTTTGTAATACTTTTCTATTTGTTACATACTGTGTTTATCACATCCTTCTAATTGTCATATCTCTTATTTATCACATCTCTTATTTATCACTCTTTCTTATTTATCATACTCTATATCATTAATATTCTATTAGACTCAAGAATCCTAATATCAAATCAGTTTTTATTTTCAAAACAAATATATCTATATTAATTAATTAAAATTCAGATTAATATAATTTAGATTACTTTTTAGCTAAATATAATGATTGCTTTGGTGTCATGACTAAAGAAAATAAACTACAACAAATTAAACCTATTCAATTTACTGTGCACCTAACCGAATGTAACAAAAAAAATAAGATTTACTATTTTAAAACACTTCATCAATCTACTGTCATCCAATGTCTTTGTAAAACTTATTATATTCTGTTTATATCTCATTATTATCAACTCCTCTTAAGATCTGCAACACCTCTTCCAATTTCTGGTTCTGTTATTCCCATAGACATAACTCCAAACTAATTTAAAAGAATTAAAAATACTATCTCTAAATCTCCTATGAGCAAAATTCCTTTATTTTCATTCAACTATGATAACTCATCTGTTGCTATTTCTTCAACTATTACAGACCTTGTACCTAATACTGTAGCTATTAAAGCTTATACACAACATATTTATATCTGTATTATCTATTATAAATCAAATATTTCATGTATTTTTCTAACTAATGACAAACACTTTTTTGATTCTACTGCTAAAATCTTATATGGATATCCTACTCATCCTAGCTGTATTTCTAATCTCAAGTTTTTTTTTTTTTGTTTTCACTAAGACCATAGTTATCAGTGACTATTGCCTTTATTGTATTTTAATTATGATTACATAACTTGTACAAGGTGAGTATACAACTAGCCACACATACAACTTTTGGTTATCTAATTTAAGTAGTCCACCTGCATAGCAGATTCTACACTAGCTGCCATATCTGCAATCTACTAGAAGATTACCTATTTTAAATACTCTGATCTTTATACTTACACTGACAAATAGCACACAAGTTCCTGTACACCTAAGTGTCATCTAACCTAACTATAACCTTTCTGTCTGTACATCTGTTAAGCCATTACATATTTCAGAGTATGTCACCTGACTTTAGGGCTCCAGGAGGCCCTTCTGCTAACTAACTACTCATATTTAATATCTTGTTAATAGGGCTCACTCTTGCAGAATTCACCCAGACCCTAGCATATTCTTAGTACTTTAGTATATTCCTGTTTCAGATCTTAGACTTCTAATCCAGATAGCCTAGTAGGACTGTGACCTGTCTCTGGCACCCCAGGGTCTGCCTCCCAAGGTCTTTTTCTCTGGTTTGAGACTTTCGGCAGTCTGGTTGGTAGTACCTCTCACCTGAGGTTCTTGCCTGCCTGATTCCTTCCACATTGGTATCCATTTCCTAGGTCTAGTTTTTATAATAGTACTGTTAAAAATCCATGTTACCTCTCTACTTGGGTCTTTTCAAGTAGGCTTTTGGTTATCTCAGTTCACAGATTTACATGGCCATAGATGCCCCATGACCTGTCAATTATCTGATGCGACCATGTTACAGGTACTGATCTCAACTGATCGATAGATAGCCATTGCTATAATACTAGTTTCAAGAACTTATCTTGTGTTTGCACTGCCCAATACTGATTTGCATTCCTCTGTATAACTCTAGCATTGCACAGATGCTCGTATACACCGATGTAACATAGGTGGTTTTCCAAATTTTCACTATCAGTAGGTTTTGAACTCCCAACTTACCACTTGGAGGATTGACAACTTATTCACTTCACTAAGTCACCACACCCCTCTAATCTCAAGTTAAAATTATTAATTTAAACTAAATCTCTCAACCAACAATAACAATCAGTTTTCTTTACTACTAAATTTGCTCTTATCAAAAAAGAAAAAAAAATCCAAATCTTTAAAGAATTTCTTTAACTTCTTAAGAAAAAATAAT